CTTCTGTGAATATTGAGGGTATCCGGAAATGTAGGTGCTGGAGAATATGCAGAAGGAGGTTAAAGGATTAGGATATGAAAGGAAAGTGAAGTGAAGTGATGAATGAGAAGAATTAACATGAAAGGGTTGATCAGCTAAGGAGCTGGGATGGGCAAAGGGTATGGCCTCATATGACTGGGGGGTATCTTCATGCAGGAATCACCCCAATGCTACAGCTAGTCCGGGCCATTCTGAAAGACCCTGAAGATCCAACCCAGTGCTTTCTGCTTTTTGCCAACCAGGTTGGTTTGCTTTTCTCAGTTCTGGGACTTCAAAGTTGCCTGTGGGTAGGGCTGAGAGATGTGCTACCAATGGGCAAAACTGGCCCAGTGTCTGTTCTAGCCTCTGCCCAAAGTCCCTCTACTACTATATAAGGTGCAGGACCCTCTACTACTATAAGGAGGAAAAAGTACAAAGCATTGAGCCAGATTCCTTCCCTGGTCCTCAAGGAAAGAAGGGAACATTTAAGGCATGTAGTCCTGAGCATAGAAACTCAGGTTTTCTTGGTTAAATATTCTGTCTTTATTCCTAAATAATGTGTAGATAAAGGCCGTTCCCTTCTCCTTCCCCTCATCCTAACTCCCTAAAAGCACTGTAAGTCTTGCTTATTCCCTAGAACTTTAGCATTCCTTTAGCATTCTTTTTATGTTTTGGTTGAAACGTCATTGTAGTAGAGAACTTTTTTTCTGTGGGCCTAGATGTTTCCTAAAGACTTTCCTTCCTCTTTGCATTTCAGACTGAAAAGGACATCATCTTGCGGGAGGACTTGGAGGAACTGCAGGCCCGATATCCCAATCGCTTTAAGCTGTGGTTCACTCTGGATCATCCCCCAGAAGGTACCCTCCCCTTTCTGGACATCCCAATATCCCCTCATCATCAAAATCAAAGTCTTGCCCCCTCTGTGAGTTCTGGTTTCAGTGAAACCAACCCTACCTGCCAAACCCCCAACTCTGAGTGTAGAGACACAGTGGTCCCCTCGTCCCTTTCCTTCAAGTTCCTGTTTACCAGGTGTGCAGCAAGGATGGCTGTAGCTGCTGCTACAACTTCATACCTTCTCAGGAGCTTTTCAGGGCCCTCCCCAGTGGCCCATCCTCATGGCACCACACCCCCTTGCCAGCATGGGTCTGGAGCGCCAGTTCTCTCCTCTCCCCTATACTTCAGATTGGGCCTACAGCAAGGGCTTTGTGACTGCTGACATGATCCAGGAGCACCTGCCTGCCCCAGGGGATGATGTGCTGCTGCTGCTCTGTGGGCCACCCCCGATGGTGCAGTTGGCCTGCCATCCCAACTTGGACAAGCTGGGCTACTCACAAAAGATGCGATTCACCTACTGAGCATCCCTCAGTTTCCCTGGTCCCATTCCCTGCAATTGTCCCCAGTCAGTACTCAAATAATGTAAGCCCTAGATTCTTTTCCTGAAAGTATCAGCCTTTTGTATCTTACTCTGGAGCTGAAATCCAGATGGTACCTGCAGGAACAACATTCCTGTAGCCATGGAAGAGGGCCAAGGCTGAGTCATTCCCTAGAAGGTCCCCCAAATCTCTTTGATAAAAGGTCCAGGTGAGGCCAATGGAGCAGTCTCTTCCACAGAATCAGAAAGCTGGGAGCATGTACATTTGTTCCAATACCGGCTAGTTCAGTGATAGCATCACACTCTCACCTTCTTTGTCTGTGATGAAAGGAACAGTCTGTGCAGTGGGATTTACTTAACATTCAATGCTTAACCCATGCGCAAATTCTGCATATGTGAGTGCAAGTTGAGTGGACTTATAGAGGTAGTCTTATAGAGATGGCAAAGAAAAGAGGAAATGGTTTCTTCAGGCCACCAAACCTCACAGAAAGGAGTTCAAAACATCTATTTGTGTGTCTGTCTCTCTCAGCCCCTGCCTGGGCTAGAGAGAAGTAGCTACCCATAATTTAAGACTGCTGCTGTGGCAGGAACCTCTGGCTATGCAAATAAATGGGGCTGAGGCCTCTGTGTGATACTTAAGGGGTTGTTGTGTCTGGGCTCCTTGTTTCCAAATGACTGGGGAACTTGGGAGAAAGGATTTCTCAGCACAGAATTTTTCCCATATCTTCCAAAGAGCCTTTGAGCAGTTGTCTCATGTGCTGAAATGTGAGCTGCCACCAAATTCAGTGATCATCTCAACAGCTGTCTCAGCAGAGCCAGAGCTCAACTTCTCCCTGAAGGCTTTTAAGGTGGGGGAAGGAGAACACATGTTAGAGGACGTTTGTTGAGCCCAGGGTCCCCTCACAGAGATCCCTTGATTTGGCCGCTCTTCCCCTTCTTCCTTCTTTTGGTTCTTCCTTCACCATATTTGTCCTTCAGGATGCCTGGCAAACAAATTAAAGTATTTCCTTTCTGTTTGGAAAAGAAGCCTTCTTTAAAAAGTAATCTGACATCCCCAGCCCTGGACTTGTTGGTGCATGGACAGAGTTGGCCACCCCCAAGCCCATCTGTCCTGAATGCCCTTCTCCTCTGCTATGACAGCATGACCCAATCCACTCCCTTCTGCCAGGATAGCACTAGGGCAGCCTCTTCGGATTCTTCTTTGTGAGTCTCATTGGGACAAAACAATGTGTTGGGCTCAGGAAAGTTGACATTGTTTTTCTGCATGGAACTATCTATTTGCTGTCTCTGTGCACCTGAGAGAAAGGCTTGTGGAACCCTCAGAATTCACCCCTCCATAGGGCAGAGTCTTCAGTACATTCTGCTGGTGGTACGCCATCAAACATTTCCTGTATGGCACTGTGCTCTGAAAGACACAGTCTCAACCACCTCACCTCCAGAAAGAAAAATCTTGCTTAGGATTGTTGGGCTCAGATAGTGAAGCAGCCCAGCAAAGAGAATTTTCCACATGGAAGCTCACCATTCCTTGTCTTGAATGGGTTTCTGCCTTATCCACTCAACATACAAACATTTATTAAGGACCTGTTGTGTGCCAAGCACTGTACTATGCCCTAAAAATACAATTGTGACCAAGACTGGGCTTAGAACTCACAAAAGAACTCCAAAGAACTCACAGTCTAAGACAGACAAGTAACAAATCATTACAACACAGCATGACTAATACCATAGCAGAGATACACAGACAAGCTACAGATGGGAAAGATTCAGAGAAAGAGGAGGAGAGAAAATTAACATTTTTGAGTTAACTAGCCATGTAGCAGGTACTGTACTAAGAACTCTATCTAATTGTATAATTTAATCCTTATGATAATTTCATCAATTGAAGATTAAGGATTTGCCAAAGGTCATACAGCTGGTCAGTGGCTGGCAGAGCCTGAATGTGAAGTTAGGATTGTCTGAGGCCAAAGCCAAAACTAGAACTGGTCATTGTAAATTGCTTGGATCTTTCAGCAGACAGAGGGGAAGGGCAATCCAACAGAAGGACTGGCATGTGCAGAAGCCTGGAGGAATGTAAGAGAAGGTCACATTTGGAGAACTAGGGGAAGTTCATTGAGGCCCAACATGCCAGAGGGAAAACAGAAAGATGAGTCTGAGAGTAGGCTAGTGCCAGCTCGTAAAAAACCTTGTAACACAAGGCAGAGGAAACTTGACCTCAATCCTGTGGATAGTGGGCAGTTTCTGAGGGTTTTATACAGCAGGCAACACAATAATAGTAATGTTTACGAAGCATTTGCTATTTGCCAGGCATACTGACAGCCTTCATTAATTCACTGAATCCTGACAAAGACCCCATGGAAATAGCACTATTTCCCCCCATTTTTCAGATGAGGTAATTATCATTTGGAGGGATTCGGCAGTGTGCTTAATATCATAGGCTGGCCAAACACAGAAACCTGGGTCTGTGTGACTCCAGAGCCCGTGCTTTTAACCAGCACCAACAGAATTAACACCATTGCCCTGAGGCGTCCATATAGGATTATAATGAGCCACTTTCTCTGCATCTAGAATGGCCTTAGTTGTGTACCATCCTTGGGAAAACTGAGGAAATTGTCAGTCCCTCAAATCACCTTTTGTGTTGAGGGTTCAGACGAGGGCTGTACTGCCCTGTATTGTTTCCCAGACAGGCACTCTGGGGCATGTGGGACATGAGCTGGAGCAGGAGTTGTCAAGCAAGATTAGTTAGAAACAATTCCGCTGTTTCTGACAAGAAATAACAGGAGCCCAAACTAAAGTCTAGCTCAGTGCCTGGCACATGGTAGGAGCCCAATAAATAGTTTGTGGAAGGAAAGGAGGGACGAACCATGAGGTTGAAGAAGGGATTAAGCAGCGTTTCGGAGATACAACGACTGGCGTTGGTAATAGAAGAGATGGAGGGATTTTCCCGGCTTAGACGGCAAGGTGTGCGGTAGGAAATTCAGCATTCCTTCCCAGGGTTTGGTCTAATTCTCTGAAATTCCTTATCCATCACGCGCTCGGGTCTGTAACTTAACGAGGAGTTTGGAATCCGACCGTGCGAGGAACCAGGCGGGGAGGTGGGCCTGGCGTGCGAGGGGCGGGGCCAGGGCTGGGGGCGGGGCCTCGGCCGCGGGGGCGGGAGCCCGGGCGCGGCGG